ATTATTTATTTAATTATATTTTTGAACTTTATATTATAATCTTGTATAAATTCTATTTAATAAAGAAAATATAGTTATTTGTAAAAATATTATTAATAATATAATAGTTAAAAATAATTTTGAGAATAGTTATAAATACTTTCTAGTTTTTAAAAGATATAATATTATTATTTTTCTTATATTTATTAAAATATTAATATAAAGTTATATTAGTTAAGAAAATGGCAGTATATTATATTTAAGTCTTTTTATCTGTAATTTCTTGAGTCAGAAATATAATTTTAACTTGTATTATTTATATAAGTATATTTTTATTAGATTTTTTAAGTAAATAAAAAGTTTAATTGATAGTTAAGATAAGAACTTTAAACTAAAAAGATTATTTTCTTTTATTATTTTGATAAGTTTAGTTATACTTTGCATAAATTATTTAGTATTTATTTTAACTAGAATTAATTTTTAAAATTAAATATATATATATAAAGTATATATATATAATATATAGTATAGGATATTAGAAAGTAATACTTATAATAATTATATTTACTACTATCAAGTTATAAAATTATTTTTTTAATAATTATAAACAAGATAAAATATAATATGAATAGTTTTAATTTATAAACTTATAATTTTATTATTTGAATAATATTCAGATCTAAAATTAAATTACAGAATAGAGAATATATATTTATAAAAAATGAAATAAATATAAAATATAAATAAATTAATTTAATAAAAATATATATAATTAAATAAAATTAATTATCTTAATTTATATCTTCAGAGAATAACTAATTATGATCTAATAATTATAAATAATAATAAAAAAGAATGAATAAAATCATAAAAAAAATATTAAAAGAAATTTAATTAAAAATATTAATTATCTAAATTAATAATATAGGTATATATAATGATTATTTATATAATATATATTAAATTTTATTAAATATATATATGATTATCTATATATTCAGAATGAAATTAATTTTTATAAAAAGTAATACAGAAGCTAATTTATTATATAGATAATACAAAATAAAGATCTAAACTAAAAGAAAAAAATCTAATTAAAATTATTATATTTCTAGAGATATGAATTAAATTAATTAATTTATTTAATTATATATATTTTAATTATAAATATTATTATTAATTTATTTATATTTGTATTTATTTCTTTTCACTATAAATATATTCTTTTTATTTTATATTTTTACTTCAAATTTAAATATTATTCAAATAATAAAAATCATAAGTTTTATAAATTAAAATTATTTATATTATATTATATTTTATTTATAACTATTAATAAAATAATCTTACAAAAAGCTTGAAGTTTTAATATAATAACTAGCTTTTTACCCTTAATTAAAAATATTTAGCATATAATTTTATATATATATATATTATTTTTTATTTTAATATATTAAATAAATAATAATTTAATATTAATATTATAATATTTTAATATTATTTAAAAAAACTCATGACTAATAATAAAATTCATGAATCAAATTTTTTTAACTTCATACTTTGATAATTTACTTTATTTATTTTTTACTTACTTCAAAATAAATATTTTTATTTAATTTTTTTATTATTTCTGCTTTATTAAGTATTAAAGAATACTTTTATTAATAATAAAAAGTATTTTTATTTATTTATTTTTTATATTATTTATAAAAGAAGTCTATATAATAAATTAATTAATTTAGATTCTATTTTATAATTCATTCATATATATGATATCTATTAATAATTTAAATTATTTAAAATATTATATAAATTTTATAAAATTATTATTATTTTTATTATAAATTTATTTTTTATTTTTATATTTTATATAAAATTTTTAAAATAATTATCTAATTAAAACTTTTTATAAATTAATTTTTTAAGTTAATAATATAAATAATAAATATTTTAACTTATAAATTTTTTAATTAAAAAATATTAATAAATAATTTATTACTAAAGATATTAAATAATATTTTTAGCTTGAAAAATAACTTATAAAAAGCTTTATATTTAATTATATTTTTAATAATTAAATTAAATTATTTATTAATATTTTTATATTTAAACTTAAATTTTTATATAAATATTTAAATTTTAATTTTTATAAAATTATTATAATTTTTATATTTTAAATATTTATTATCAATTTCAAATTTTTAATTTTTATAATAATATTATTTAATTTATTATAATAAATTAATTATTTAAATTCTTTTTTTCTTGAAAAAATATAATTAATTTTTATATTTAATTTTTTTTATTAGTAATTATATATAATTTTTTTATATTTATTATTAAAAAAATTTAATTTTAATATTATAATTATTTTCTAAAAGAAATATATTAAAGTTATTTTAAATATTTTTTATATATCTTGAATTTATAATAAATATAATTTATTTTAATTTAAGAATTTTTTAATAATATTTATAATTTTTTTTGAATTATTATATTAAAAAGTCTTGAAAATAATATATATAGCAATATGATATATATTTATTACAAAAAGTAATATCTAATTTTTTTAAAAAATAAAATTTCAGATTTATTTTATTTTTATCTTAAAAATATAAAAATATTTTTATATTACTAGCTAATATATTATTAACTCTTTATATAATTCTAATCTTATTTTTGAAATCTTCTTAAAAGTTAATATATCAAATTTTTTTCAAAGTAATCTTGAGCTTTTTTATAATTCTTGAGAAGTTTTTATACTTTTGAATATTATTTTTCAATAACTTATAAATAATTAGAATTGAGATAATATAATATTGATTTTCTCTATTTGATTCTATTCATAACTTCTTTCTCTAATATAAATCAAGTTATACTTAAAAAATCTTCAGATAAACTTTTATACAAATTTATTATTATTATTATTATAAATAACTTGGAATATCTTTTTTGACTTCTTATATTTTTCTTGATTATTAAAAGTCTATAATCTTTCAAACAGTGGTAAATTTTTCTTTTTCCTGTTTCTTTTCTACTCAACAAGAGATTATTATACTCTTATCAGGTTACATCATATTTTTCTTGCAACTTGCTTGGCATTCATAACTTTAATAAAAATCACTATTTTTATTCTTGACAAAGATGGCCTACTGTATGACAGGTATCATATTTACACCTAAAAAATTTTCATCTAGTGTATGTTTAAAAGTAAAAGAAGAAAAATTAGGATCAAAAATAACAAAAAATGACGCATATATTTATAAAACTTGATAACAATTCCGTTTAAAGCTAGAGTTAGAGTTAGATATTGCTTTTGCGAAAATTTCGCAAGGAACAATTAGAACATTTTTTCGTTACACATGATTTTACGATTTGATTGGTTTACCCATTAAAAATCACATGACCCGTAACTTTTTAGTATAAAATTCAATTTCTCATTGTTCTCAGAGAACATCACAATCTTTTTGAGAACATTTTGGTTTAAAAATGTTCTCGAATAAGAGAACAATTTGATTAGAAATTATCTTCTCGGTAAGTCCTAAGTAATTATAAAAAATAAATATTTTTTTGCTTGAGAACAAATTTGAGAACATAATTGAGAACATTCTTTATTTTTTTTGAGAACAATATAAAAAATTTTCGTTCATATGAGAACATGATTTCAAATTTGAATTTTTATACACTGATTGTAGTAATTATACATTTTTAATGATGTATATCAAAAATATTAATATCCATTAGATATTGAATTGCAATATACATGTATATTGCGATACACATTGTTTTCAAAGCTTCTTGATATAAGCAAGCAATTACAGTATTTGTGTTGAAACATGGGGATTTTTACTATATTCAAAAATTACACCTCATTGGTGTTGCATAGTCTAAGCCCACTTACCAAAAACTTATCATAAATATTTTGCTGGGAGTACGTATTACAGGCAAATCTATTGGAAAAAGGCCAGTTTCGCAGGAAATTGTTTTAACGTTGCATGTACATTTAACCAATTAAAATTTCATAACACATGATGCGATAGTTTGGTCACAGGATATACAGATCTCATTGCTTAGGACAGAAAAAAATCTTATAACTAAAATGGATACGTTACCGGTGAATATAATATTGAGGTAAATGTTGTTTTGCATAGTTACAATTTGTGAAATAAATTTAAAGATGATAAATATAAATGTGCGCAAATGAACAGTTTATTAATGTAAGCAAAAATGTTTTTTGTTTTCTAATATAAAACAAGTTTTCAAAGATACAGCATCGGTATATTCCGACTGCGATGATTATGGAAGAACGAAAAAAATATACTATATTCATTTCAAATAGTGATCTGCCAGATGATTATTCTATTCACACAATAAAACAAAACAATTGTGACTTATTGTATACATGTATAGTGAACTAACGAAAATTATCTTGAGATGGCGATATTATGATAATGCAGTCTCGCATATACAGTCCAATTTTGGAATGCTTATATGAATACGTAATCGCATTTGATAATACATGTACATGTACTTGGAAGCTTATATATATCGAAGAAATTGGTTTTCTAATCTTCAAAAGCTCTTGAGTTGTATTACCGTTACGTGTAGTCATAGTACATGTAAACAACAAGAAAATAATATTGAAGAGTTCAAAGAACAAAGGATAGTGATCTAACCTGAAACTACTAAATTCAAGTTTTTGAGGTGGATTTTTGTGAATTAGAAAAAGGAAAGATAACATGTATCTTTATAGATATTCTTGTTCCACGAGATTTGATCTACATGTGCTCGTAACTTTAACATCGAAGGTACATGTATATATGAAGTTATATGTCAATAAACAAAGTTACCATTTAAAATGGATAACAAATTTATATGATTAGATATAGATTAGATAATATGCATTGTACATGTGAGTATGAGAAATGAAGTTCATCCTAAAATACCAAGTTTGTTTCTCAAAGATATATTTATTGAGCTAAGCATCCTTTCGTTTTTCATTTTAAACTCCAAAATTCAAAATGACCACAAATACGCACACAATCGACGGTCTGAAAAATAATGTCGAAGGATTGGTTATCAAATTACAAACAGATGCTAAGAATGAGTTTGAGCAACAAGTATCTATCCTTTTATTGTAGTGCCTCTCTTGTGTTACACTTGTGAATTTATTGTCCTTACTGTATACGTGACTGACTCTTCAGACAGAAAAGGTCCAGAGCGAGATCGAAAATCTGGATGAAGATGACATAGAACAGTTCGTGAGTGATAAATTCAATAAACTCAACACGTTATTTCTAAAAAAATCAAAGAAGGTAGAGAAATTTGTCCTCAGCAAGAGGCCCAAGAAACCAGTGAGGACAGCTGAAGAAACAGATGAAGAATATAATCAAAAATATAAAGGTAATACTGACAATGCATGTATGGATTATTAACCACGTCATCTAACCCACTCCCGTTTTAATAAGTATATGAAGAAAGTCTTGGACTATACAAAAGTTTTGTTTCCTGGAGTATGAGTATGGTAGAACGACTTATGCATTGGTTGTCCGAATTATTCGACGACATTATCAGTTTTTTTAAGAACTTGTGGACCTGGATCAAATCAAAGATCCGTGATATTTCTACAAAGTAAATCATTATTATCACCTGAATTATGTGTATTATTTTGTCTCGTGGAAAAGTTAACATGTTTATGTTCGTTTCTTCATTAGCGTTCGGGAGTTTGTAGCAAAAATTGCTGAAAAATTTAGCCGATTACACGACTATCTCTTTGGCGAGAACAATTCATAAATTTATTGTCGCGTATGCGCGATTTGTAATAAAGCAAATCTATTTCCGGCAAAAATTTTTCACGTGGGAGAGAACACTTTGGAGTTAGTCCAAATATATTTAATTCTATATTTAGAGCAACTCAGTATCCATAATCTTAGTTCTATTATCAACCATTCTACATTGTAGATTGTTCTGTAACATAAAATCTTTCAAACTGGAGCAATAGGAAATGCTTCTGATTTTATGCATTTTTTTCGCTAAGGCTATGATAATTCAAAGATTCACAATATTTGCTTTATACGAGTGCATGGATTTGTAAGGTTGCTTCTTTTTAAAAGAAAAATAATAAATTGCAAAAAATCCTGCTGTGATCACCTTCATTTAATTCGTTTGGAACAAACTGGCGCTTGTTGAGTATAACAAAACAAAGTTCTGTGTTGGTTTGCCGATCAAAAACATTGGATGTTAACATTAGGTAGCACATGTCATTCTAATCAACTATTTGGCATACGCGCGAACCATTTTTGGATAGCGATAACAAATTCATAACGATAATGTTACACCTAGTTTGTAACAAGTAATTTTGGCAAACATCTTTATTATTGGGTATTATAGGATTTGGTGTAGAGAATTTACGGAATTAAAAAGATAATACGGGTATTTACAACTAGCAAATCTTTATTAAGTTTTATTTAATTATTTTTAAGGGTTTTACGCAATCTGCTAATTCCAACATAGCTTTTTATAGCTAAAAGTTGTAAACTCTAATTATCGGTACATCAAATGCAAACATCGTTTGCCTTTTCTGGACTAAAGGACCTAACCATCAATCAACTCACGGGTTAAAGGTAATTATATAATGACCTTTAAAGCACACTTTATTTTACTTTACGCAATTATCTTTTATACATTTAGCTCAGGATAATTTATTACATATTTTATGGGAAAAAAATATATTAAGGAAAAATTATATAATAAATTACGGGAAAAATTAATCGAAGAAAATGCTAGAAAAATTATTATATAAAGAAAGAGTCTCACGAAGAATAAAATATGGGAAAAATCATATCGAAGAAAATAAAAAAAATGAAGTAAAATAAATGGTTAAAAATATTACACAGTAATGATAATTTAAACTTACTTTTTATTTTAATTAATCTTTTGCAAGTTAACATGCAGTTTGAGAGTTATTATTGATTATGGAGGGTTAAAGTTAAAAAATGACTGCGAATATCTACGGGTATTGTATTAGCACTTGGGCAAGAATTTATTTTTATCTTATTTTTTAAAAGATTTTAGATGCAAAGAACTAATGAATTTTATCATCTGTAAACTGTTTTTAAATGCATAAATCTTTACAATTATCATCCCACTTTGTATTAGAATAGTCTCGATGTATTTATATGGTTAATTGATTATTAAATAAAATTCGCCTTTTTTATCATTGAATATTATCAAAACGCTCTCATACAAATATATTTAAGAATTAATATATGAGAAAACTAATCAAATATTCTTCTAAGATACAGGAACTAGTAGCATCAATTTTCGGAATTAATGGATTATAAACTATAAAACTGATGAGGAAATTAATAATTCAGAACTCTTCTAATCATCTAATTTCTATAACTCATCAAAATAATTCCATCGGATAATAACAATTGAATAGCTTGTCCATGAAAAAATTTAAATTATATAGATATTTGAATAATATTTTGAACTGGTTCAAGAGCAAGCTGATTATTTATTATTAAATATGAAGAAATAAATTAAAAAAAATATACTTGAATTATTTTTTTATTATTTTTTTGCTTATAAATGGATAGCATTTACTTAAATGGAGGCGTTTTATTAATTTTCTTTATATACTGCATATTACTATTCAAATTTTTTTCAATTTATTGTTTTAAAAGTTTTTATTTTATTAGTCATCTAATTTTAAAAGTTTTATTATTATTATTATATATATTAATAACTTTTCAGTAATATTATATTTTCTAATTGATATTATATTCAAAAGCAATGATAATATTATTTTCTGATTAAAAGATTAATTTTCTTTAAGATATACTTTTGTAAATTACCAATTTATTTTTAATTAACTTTATTATTTATATAATTTCATTTACATTCTTTTAATCTTCTTTATTATATAAGCTTTATATAATAACTTAATTATTATTCTCTTTAAATAATAATAATTATTTTATCTGTTATATTATTAATATTTCTTATTTGATTTAGTAATTATCTCAATTAATATTTTATTTTTCTTATTTAGTATATTATTTATTATAATAAATAAGGAATAAACTTTTTATTAGGCTTAATTAAATTAAATATACAGTATGTTACAAGATTATTTGGAATTTTTTTACACGCAATATAAATACATCTAGTATATATACAATTTCTTATGTGTAAAATACAAAATAAAGCCTGTATTTCAAGCTAAATTTTAATATATTTAACAATGCAAAATGTCATAGCAACTTTTACAATAATTATATATATAATATCTCTTTCAAAGAAAGAAATATAATGTTAAATTATATTATAATTATGGAATGATGACATTCAAAATACCAAATAAATTCATAAATAAACTGGTATTATCTCTAGCACTATTTATAATAATATCAAAAAACTGAAATAAATCAGCATGTAAAAGATGCTGAACGATCTAAAAAAAATTATCACACATATATCTCAGATACTTGAATAGTATGTGCATAGAGATACTTCACTTTCTACATGAATACTTGTCACAAAATTATTCAAAATTAATGTTCAAGTATTACATATTGCTATTGCTCATCATATAATTATCATAGGCTACTCAAAAAGCTTGTCCAAAATCACATCTATATTAATCACCAATTATAAAAAAAGACAGATAAAATAAGTAAAGGCTTATCTTAATGATAACTGGAATTGAATATTATTTTTAGATGAGATGGCTTTTTAGCTCTTTTAAAATATAGTAAAGTGCTAATATAAGGTACTCATCAAACTTATCTCATGCCAAAAGACCAAACAAAAATAATGACATAAGATGATTTTTTTGTTAAAGAAAAAATAAGTTTGTTTTATTTTTAGTAAATAATGAATGCAGAGTTTTATATAAATATTATCAACAGATATATCTTAGAGATTAATAGTATGCTTAAAAATAATTAGTACTTTTAGTAAGATAATAATCTCAAACATACTATTTTTTATAATTTTTAAATTATTGATTATGATGCAATAGGATTTTTTTTGATTCTGAATAATTTTGTAATACATTATAAGTAAATATAAAATTATTTATTTAAATAGTAAAGAAAAATTATAAGAAATAATGTAATAAAATTATAAATAAAAATAAATTAATAAATTAATAAAAATTAAAATTTTATATTTATTATTAAAATAATAAAAAGATAAAATATTATATTAAAAATAGAAAAAGAAATAAATATTATTATAATAATAATAAAATAATTATTATTTCATAAATTTTTAAATTATATTTTATTATTTTATTATTTATGATTTATTTTTTATCAAAATTTTATATTTATTAGTATTAAATATTAATTTTTAATATGAAATATTTTTGTTAATACTTTTTAAATTCTTTTCAATATCTTTTTAATCTCTCTAATTCTATTTTAATATTATTTTTAACTTTTTTAACAGTGTTCTAATTATTTTTGATATTATTTTAATATTATTTTAATATTATTTTAATATTTTTTAATATATTTTATAATATAAAATAATTAATATATAAATCTTTTTTTAATTTAATAAATATTTATATAAATAGAAATAAAAATTAAAAGTTTAAAAAATATATAAACAAGAGTAATATTTTTTTAATAATATAAAAAAAATAAAATATTAATTCAGTAAAAAATTAAAATTCAATTTTTATATTAAAATTATAAAATATTTTGAAAATATTCTGTTAAATATATTAAAATATTATTAAAATATTTCTAAAAATATTTTATTATATTTATTTGAAAATTATTTAAATGTTAATAAAATTATTTCAGAATTAATTATAATTATTAAATATATTATATATTTTATAAAAATTATCAGAATTAAAATTTTATATATCTAGCAAAAATATTTTATATCTAAAAAAAATAGTTAATAATTTCATAAAAATTTATTTAATTTATTAAAAATTAATAAATAACTATTTTAAAATCAGTAAATAACTTAATTTAATTAATTAAAATATTATTTTTAAATAAAAGTTATTAAAACAAATAGTAAAGATTTTTATATATAATTAAAAAAAATAATTATATAATAAAAATTATAATAATTCTTAAAAACTTATTTAAATTTATTAAAAATTAATAAATAATCACTTTATTATCTGATAAATAATTTTATTAATTATTTTAAATATAAATTTTAGATAAGAATTAAATTTTTTATATATAATTAAATATTATAATATAATAAAAAATAATTATATAATAAAAGCTTAAACTAACAAATAGTAATTTTTTAATCAGATTTAATAATATAATTATCTTCTAAATTAGTTTAAATAATAATACTAATATTTCTAATATATTTCAAGTTAATAGTTTCAGAAATTTTTATAATAATATATATATCTACTAGTATAACTTAATGTAATAGAATTCTAATTATTTCTTTTTCAGTATAATAAATATTATAACTAATATCAATTAAATAAACTTTTTTTAATAATTTCTCTTTATTTTAATTATTGTAAACTTTGATTATATAATATTTATTATTTTATTTAACAGGTAATTCTTTAAGTATCTGGTAAATAATATTAAATTTTTCTTGTATCTTATTTAATTCAAGTTGAAAAGATTAATTTAAAATAGGAATAATATTTATTTTTTTAATTAATTCATTAGTTATCACTTTTTCTTGAATTATTTCTAAAATTATAAAATGATTTTCTTTATTTAATTTAGCTAGAGATTCAGATTATATATAATTATCATATTTTTTATTATCATATAAAATTA